ATGCAAATATTTCTCTTAAGTGAATGAACTTCAAAATCATAATACCCCCATCTGCACAGGGTACGAAAAGTCATTGCAAGACAGAAACAGAACTACAACATGCTCTCTGCCTCTGTCCTAAACAGTTTATTGGCAGCAGCGGCGGCGTCGGCCACTATGGAAAATAAATCTTTACTGCGCCATAAAACGATGGCGACGACAGCACTGCTGTAATGGAGAGGCAGCCAGCAGCCTCAGTTTTTGCTTATCTGGTTGTTGCGCTCTTCGCTGATTTCCTCTCTCTCTCTCTCTCTCTCTTCTCACTCGCTACGGCTTCTAATGAAGATGATAATAAAATGTGCGGTGCCATAACCACAAATCCTTTACCAGCACTGCAGTTCTCTCCCTCTCTCACTCACCCTATTGCTTTCCCCATGCCTGTTCGCTGCTTGCAGTTTCATAATCTGCAATCCGCTCATTTAACAAATTGCTTAGCTGCTGCAGACTGCAGCATCGCTGCCTCTGCAGCAGCATCATTGGACACTAATCGTAGTTTTGAGGTTTGCTTGAAATACTCTAACAAATAATTAAGTAATTTAGACAAGCTACTAAACGACTGCATATTAATAGGAAATTAGCATTAATAGGTGATTTATTATGGGTGATATAGTATAAGCTGAACGGAATTGCCAAGCAACGGCAGCAATCCAATAAGAGGAAAAGCGGTTAATTCCCAATTACCAAAACTTTAAAAACTTTTCAACTTTTATATTCAATGAAAAGTCCTTAAAATCTTCTTACTGATTGTATTTATATCTTAGTTTCTCCTATTAACAATTATTAATCTTATTAATCTGCAAGAGACATTATAATTCGTTGACTGATCATATTGAGATTTCTTTCTTCACTTGGAAAAATTGCAAGTATTTTGTATGTTTATTTCTTTATTTTGAACAGTGCCATATATTTTGATATTGTTGCTATTGCTGATGCTGATGTTCATGTACAGCTATTGCTGCTGATATTGTTGATATTTTTGTTGCTGTTTTGTGGCTGTTCCATCCGCTTGTCGATTTGTTTCGCTCGTTTCGGTTCTAAGTTTGCGTGCTGCCAACTCCTCTCATTCCACCCCTCTCTTTCTATATTTCACTCCCTCTCTTTCTCACTGGTTGCTGGTTATTCCAGGGTGATTTTGCATTTTGTTGTTTTATTTCCAGTCCCAGCAGCCGCAGCCGCAGCAGCAGCAGCATTTCAAGGTCTTTGCACTATTTGTTTTTGCCAAGTTTTGCACTCATCTTGTTTAGTAGAAGTACAGTGGTCGCTCGGGGTACGATACGCGTTACTTCAGGTATGTTTTAATAGTCCAAAAACAATTTTAAGCATAACGATAATCCCCTGATTGATCTTTCTATGGATAAATATATTTAATAATATTTTTTAATTCAATTGCTAATGTCCATTTTCTAGCAATCTTCATTTTCGTGTACAGGTGCCGAACATTTCTACCCCTGTTGAGTGCACTTAGTCGAGTTACACTTTAAATGGATTTGCTGCATCTGCTGCAGTTGGGTGTTAAGTTTTCTGAGAGTGAGAGAGAGAAGTTGGGGTTTGTTGTTTTTGTAAAAATTTCTTCGCCCCGGCGCGCTCGTGTTGATGCAGTTGCAGTTTTGCAGCAGATTTTGTTGCTTTTGTTGCTCTTTTCCACTTGACTGACAATTTGATTGGCAGTTTGCTTTTGTTAGTGCCCGTGCTATTCTATCGCTAGGCCCCACCCCAATCCCCCTTTGGGCAATTATATTTAATTTTATTATTGAAGATTGCAGCAAGATTTTCGCCCCCCAAGGTCAGACGTGTAAATCTTCACTGTTGTCGGTGCTGATGCTGTTGCTGATTCTGCTGCTGCTATAGTGGTCACGTAAGAAAAAATTTTCTCCTTCTCTCTCAGTCTCTAATTCTCATTCTACTACGATTTCCCCCCTGTCTACAGCTTCAAAGTCACGCCTTTATAATGGGCCTAACTCTGGCTATTGCTGTTTTCTGTATGAGTTGCTGGAACGATTTTTAGTTTTCTGTTTGGCATTTCCCATTAGAAATTCTTGTCATTAATGCAGTCGACCGGTTGCACTTGTTGCTGTTTGCGGCCTTTTTCCAGCTAAAACTAACTAAAGTTGTTGTTGCTGTCAATTTCCTTTGTATATATGCCAGGCGGAAGATCTGAGAGTCAGCAAACAACAGCAAGGTCAAATGTTTGTGGATTACATTGCGTATGCGCAATATGGTATGTTCGATTACGCTTACGCATCGCTAACACTGAAACAAGTTGGTTCAGCGGATAGAGAGGGAGATAACATGTTGGCCAATCTTTGTAAATTTAATGTGTATGCTGTGGGGCTAAGACAGGGCGTAACTAGGAGATAAAGAGATAAGCCTGGGTGGAACTTAAAGAAAAATGGTGCACACAATATTGCATTAAATGATCAGATATTGTTGGTTGTATAGGACCTTGTGATTGACATAAGGACCACAATTGACAAATGAATAGTGCGGGAGAGTTTGAATACCAATTATTTAAATATATTTCAAATATAATATATTCTACGACAAATAAACATTTATGTATGAAAAAAGATGTATCTAAAAGGATTTTACCTCTTTATACACTTTTCTTAGGTCGCTTCGGTTTCCAAAATGTTCCATCGAAGAAGTTAAGGTCTTTCCTTTTTTGTGGCGCACAATTCACAATCATTTCCATCGATTACGAGTTTGCTATGTACTCAGCACTTAAATAACTAATTGCATTGCATGGCCATAGCCAGAAAGAGATGACACAAGCGAGTGAGAGAGAGGGGAAGGAAAAGCAGAAGCAGAAGCAAAAGCAATGGCACGCTAGAATTCTTAACTAGCCATAATTGTTATATTTTTCAAGCATATTGCAGTCATATGCGTGTCGTTAGCTTGCTCTTTCTCTCTCTCTCTCTCTCTCTCTCTGACTCTGCCATCAACAACATCATCATCATTGTACTCTTTCAGGGGGTATAATGATTTGGATTGGATTTATGCAAAGAGGAAGCATTTTTTACTTTTTATCATTCTTGAACTGAAAAAATAGACGTGTCCGTTGTTATAAAAACTTTGCTAATTATCACTCCACCTAGTATAGGTATATTTAAGTCAAAGATACCAAGATTCGATGAGTATACTAATCATATACACACATACATAGATGCCATAACAATTATCAAGAGTATCTTAAGCTTCGACTCTCAAAGCTAGTCTTTCTTTCTTTCTTGCTAAACTGCTCTTCTCTATCTCTCTGTCTCTCCAGTAGTGCTTGCAATATCATCGCAGAGCCAAATAGAGAGAGCGAGAGAGAGGGAGAATTACAAAGCTCAAGGTTACGCATACGCCATGTATGCCGGACCAGGCCATGCGATGCCATGCAATGCGATGCGATGTCTAAGCAAATAGACGACAAACGAGCGAGGCAACGCAAACAGAGACACGGACACGGATACTTGTGCAGTCCGCAGATAGAATTTTAAACACACATGTCAGTATGGAGGGGCATCCAACGTATTTGGATGGTTACAGGGGTATCAGGCGGGCTGCTAAGCAGCTGCTTTTTAGTGCACACAAAGTGTCAAAAGTGTCAAGATGCCAGGGCTAACCCATCGATCGACAGTTCTCGCTCTGCTCTGCTCTGCTCTGCTTTGCTTTGCTCTCCTCTTTCCTGCAGCACACACAGATGCGTCGTCTTGTGTATCGTTCCACAGAGCTCCAACGCTAATTGCTTCGCTCAAGCGAAAAACATTTTCACAAGAACTAATAAATGCAACTACAGCAGCCAGAAGCGAACAGGGGGTGGGAGGAAACGGGCACTGTCATGGAGGCCACCCACTCACATGACGACCATAAAGAAAAGTCAGACAGCCACTGTCTCTGCCAGCTGCTGTCTCCAAGGCATCGCATCCTCCATACCATCATCGTCGTCATCGTCTTTGGTGGCCCGAAGGCTGCCTTAAATGCCCTCATTTATACTCTCACTTGGAGCTATTTGAATTGGGTGATTATTGTGATTGTTATGGCTAATTTTCAGGAAAGTTTCAGTGCACTTCAAACATTACGTTGATGGGGGAAATACAAAGAAGATTGGTTATATTCACTTAAAAGGAAGTCATCTCTGAGAAATTAATATGTATGTACCTACAGGCTTCGAGGCATTGTTCTAATGTGAGTGGGTTTTGGCTAACAAAAAATATAATACTAGGTCTAAAATGATCGATATTCTATCCAACTATCAAACCGTACGATAATCCAACTCAAATGAAGGGAGCGTGAAACCGATATTGGCTATAACTTTTTTAAATTGATCTACATATATAGCTTGGTAAGACTATTCGATGCATTTCTTTTATTTCGATTCTTCGAACACAAAAACAAGACGTGTCCCATTAATAATTTCTTTTCTCCCTTTTAAACTGACTAAATGAGAATAGCCACCAAAATCAGCTCCTTAATAGAGTATTTTGATATCTTATTCTCTTGGCTTTTTTCCATATCTATGCTAACTTTGGCAACTCTGTGGCCTGGCTGCTCTTTTCAACTGTCTCCTTCTCGAGATACCCCGTCTACCACACCACACCCTTAGACCGTTTTGTGGGCTGTCAAGTTTTTAAACTGCAGCCATATGCAGTGGTGGGCGTGGCATGTGCTTTATGGCCAGGCCAAAAAAAGGAAAAGTAAACCAAAGGAAGAAAGCCAACGACGTGCTCACAAAGATATTCAAAAACTTCTCCTCTTTTTTTTGCTGTGGTTTGCAGTGCACTTGAGAACAAACGAAAAGATGGATTATATGGCAGAGAGAGGTTTCTCAGGTCTTTACCCAACTTAGATATGGAATGAGGGCGTTTAATTACTGCCCAAAAAATGGGTATTTTAATTAGCCTTATGGCCATAGCGGGAATTTGTTAACAATCAAAGCGCAGCGCGTGCTGCCAATCAACGGAAAGCGGGGAGGTACTGGCACGGAGGGAGCATCCATCCATCCTTCTCGTTACTGCACAAGAATTTCAAATTGTTATGCAAATTTTTTGTACCCCAACGGAACAGAGGAGGAGAGTAGAGGTGCTGCTGTTGTTGCTACTGTGTCGGATGTCTTTGGGGTACGTTTTTGTTCAGGTCCCGGTGCCAGTCCCAATCCCGGTCTCGGTTCCCGTCCCGAGGAAAGTGGCGAGAACAAAAGCGCCAGGCAAACGCCATAATTCAAGTGGCCGCAGCGATTTCATGCCTGATTTCAATTATCAATACGCGCCATCGACAGCAGGCGACAGCACAGGCCAGGAACCCAATCCCGGGTTGGTTTCGCAGCCACAGCCACAGCCAGAGGCAGATGGTGAGGCAGATGGAAGGCAGATGTAGAGGCTTGGTGAAGGAGCAGACACGTCGAACAATTGAACAATGGGCACAAATCATTTCATATGCCAAACGTGTGGTCGATGATTGGATAGCCCCACCAGAGCCAGAGCCGCAACCACAGCACCAGAGACAGAGGCAGCGACAGAAGCAGCAGCAGCAGCACCACCACCACCAAAAACAACAACTAAAAAACCCACTTCATCATTCAACGTTCCCTTTAAAGTCTTCTGTTCTTTATGGCATATTTATACCCGGTACTTGGCACCGAAATGGGATATGTTTGGTTGCTGGAGATGTTTGCGGAAGGTGCATCGAATCAACCAGGTAAACTATATCGATAAATGCTTTGTATAATTATATCCGATAGTATCTTAGAAGCTCTGAGGATTCAAAATTGGAATTATTGGGCAAAGGTGTTGTCTATCTGATATACAAACCAAAAATCAGAAGTGATACTAATTTTTTTATAATTTTTTAAGGGTACAAATATTATTAACAAGTCACAAAAAATAATTTTGTAAGTGTAAACATTACATCCAGAACTAACAAATTTATTTTCTAAAATTTTGTTATTAATTAGGCGGTATCCCATAGTCTTAATAATGAATAAACGCATTCTCTCGTTTATTTTAGATCAGACTTTGTCACAATTCTTTTCTCTTTCGGGGTAGCAGTATGTACTCGTAATTTGTTGCTGTTCGAAGGCGGCGATTGGTTTTGTCAACTGTCAGTGCTGATGAATTTAATAAATTTGAAGCGCAGAAGTCAAACATCCACATCGACATCATCATCATGATCATCGATAGCATCATCGTCAGCAGCAACTTCGGCATGTTGTACATGACACAAAAGCTGCAGTTCATCGATGGCTTTTGAATATAAAAATCCATGAAAATCAACCAAAAACGATTTTGACAAAACCATTTTTGGGGGAAGCCTCAGAGCCGGGGGCGGTGGCATTCAAGTGTGGGCATGGCAGATGGATGGCGGATGCAGAATGCATTGAATTTTAAATCGATATGAAAACGATTTCAATCAAATGGCTTCAGCAAAATTTGGCCAAAAGATACAAAAGCCAAAAATGCAAAATGAAAAAAAAAACAAAAAACAAAAAAAAGGTCTGACTGACAAACGAAATAAAATAAATATTGTGACAATTGAAATTGTTTGGCCATGTCATGTAGATAAATAATGTGCCAGTGATTTTGGACAAATGAAATAATTAAATATTTATCATTCGAGCTTATCGAGACCATTAATCAAAAGCCGCCAGGAGGATGATTCTTTTTTTTTAGTTAGGTATTGCTGGAAATGGGGGAAGTTTCGATTGGTGGTTCTGACGTACATTTGTGGAAGAGTTATGTTTGGTAGGGGTGATTTATTGTGTTTTTTATTTGGTGAAAAAGTCAAGATATTTTATCTTGGAATTATTAATTAATTTTTAAGATAATATTTAAATGAAAAATTAAAGAAAAATTAAGGCTCAAGGTTTGGGAAAAATAATTTAAATTATAGCTAAGGGAATTATGGGTTTGGCCAGGAAATCATAAATTACTTAATACATGTTTCTTTTCTAGTGCGATAGTTATTTTTTCTGAATATTCAATACTCTGACGTTGCCTTGTTATTTTATTAGAATTTCCCTTACCTAATAACCCAATTTTTATTAATATCTTAATGTTTTTCTATGTTTTTGCTAAATTTTTATTAGTAAAAATATATGGGATTCTGGGGTTTGGGAGGAAGGGATTATCTATACTCTCTTTTTCATCTAATCTAAAAGCAGTATAAAGCGCCACCCCTTCCAAATCACAAACTAAGCCAAAAATACCTACGTTAATACATATATTTTAAAGTTCCCTCTCACCCCTCTTCACTTCCCATCTTGAGATGTTCCCTCTTCGGACCGCTCCATAAATAATTCCATTGGCAGCACAAAAGAGCTTATCGTAAGCTCGATTTGAAAGCTTTAATGCCCATCAAATGCATTTTGGCTGCTCAAATTGTTTGCCGAAGCCAACCAAGACGACCCTTCTTCGCCACGGCAGAATCATTCATCAATTTTAAAGCCACCCAAAGGAGGGAACAAAAAATTGATGCACGTATGGGTGTACATCTGTGTGCGGGTATGAGAATTATTTCCTCTTCACGAAGCCCAGAATTTAAGCGGAAGCCACAGAAAATGAATCGGAAAATTTTTAAAGTGAAGCACGTAAAGAAATCGTAAAGTTTTCCAGCTTTTTGTAACGCCGTACAATATGATTGAAATATCCCACATGTTCAGCTTTGGTCAAAATATCAGTGGTGATAACCATTAGTCCCATAACGGCTGAAAATAAAATTCTTCATTGCTGTCATTAGTTCTTGTTCTGCCAAATAGTGTTCCTTTCTATGTTTATCTTTTTAATAATTCGTAAATATTAGATTTTACTGGCTTTATTCCCTTTATTATCATTAGGATAGAGTATACAAGGCTGTGGTATGCCCAATTTCTTGTTATTTTATACCAGATTGGTGTACTTTTAAATTTAATTAAAAAACATTTTTTTCTTTAAATTTAAAATAATATTAAATTTATTTAAAATACCATCGTTTCTAAATGAAGCACCACAATTGTACATTTATTCCCTTTTCGGCTGTTCTTTTTGTCATTTTTATTACAAAACATACAAATACGTAAAAGAGGCTAAGAAGCAAAAGAATTTTCGCAGATGGAGGAAGGGAGCGACTGTGCCAAGTAATTCTTATGATTATCATAATTTATATGGCCTTGAGGCGAACCGAGTTTTATGTGGATCCACATACCACATACCACCACAAATGTATCTGAATATGTGTATCTGAATATCTTGAAATGAAAGCAAAAACCCAAAAGAAGAGTTCTGCTGTGGCGGCGGCTGGTGACGTCTTCCGTGCCGCTTCGTGACTCCCAAAAGTGCACAAAAGACTCGGGTTGCGGGGTATGGGGCATGTGAGCTGGAGCTGGAGAGCCCATCATCTAACTAATGCTAAATACTTTGACCTTGGCTGGAGAACTGGCGCTATGGGGCTCAGGGTCTTGAAAATTATATGCCAGTCCCCAAACAGCGCTCCTAACAAAACGCTGGAAAAAATATCTCTATACAAAAACAATTTCCACTCAATGAATAGAAAAATTGCTCACAATTGTGTTTGTGGCACTGTCCCTCTCCCTTTCCCATAATGATGCTAACTAAATAATTAGCTGACATAATTCCGTTTAGAGTTGGAATTGAAGTTGGAGCTGGTGTTGGTGTTGGCCCGGCTAAGAGCTGTAAAAGACTGGCCCATTAGGCACGAGCGGCAAGTCGAAAAGTCATGTCAAAAGTGTCAAATTAAATGCGCATTAGTCGCGTCATTACAAAAGACACAAAGACGCAAAAACCGCAGAAGCCCCAGCCAACAAAAAAATTTTTCAAAGTATTTTGCTACCTCTCCAAGTCTCAATGTTTTTATATCGCTGTGTAGTATGTAGTATATATGTATATATTAAAACAATTAAATGGCCAGCAACATTTAATTGCATAATTAATAAACATTAAAAGCACTTAGCTATGGCAACAATGTCTCTTAATGCCATACAATTTTAAGTTGGCGTTTTCTTATACATATGAATGTGGCTCTCTTTCCCTCTCTATATCTTTTTTGGTGGTCTTCTGTGGTCTGCTGCTGGGGTCTTCATGAGACACGCACCACGCGACGTATACGTAGTGTCCGAAAGATTACAAAATACAGTAGAGCGTGGGCATGGGGAAAAGGAATGCTGAATGTGTGGCAGGTAAAAGGGGAATTGGAAAATTAAGTAAAGGAATTTTGAGAAAAGTTCTGTGGTGAAACAATCGCTTGAGTAATACTTTTATAAATAATAAAGTTTTCCCCAGCAATATAAAAGAATGTTTCTAGATTGGCCTTTGGAGTTTCCTAAGCCAAAATACCAAAGAAAGCAAACAATTCCCCGAAGGCCACTCCAACTTCTATCAAAGACAATCAAAGAGAGGAATACCATGAGGCAGAAACAATAAAACAATCAAAGTGAGAAAAAGCATAGTTCATGATTAATGGCTTAGCTTGCTCTAGTTCTCTACTATTTCATGTGTCATTATTTGAAAGATGATAATAAGAAGTGGACGAAATTTTCATATCTTTGGCAGTCCGAAAAAAATGAAAAAACGATATTTACGCGTCTAATTAGCTAACGAAAATGCATTAAATCAGCATTAATCATTCATTTGAAATCTAATGTAAACACATTCCCCTTACAAGCAATAGCTTCCAACGAGTCTCCACTGTGCTGTAAGAATGCCACATAGAAAAAAAATCACACCGAAAAAGAATTAACATAACAATACGCAAATAGAACAACAACATGCCTGCGGCACGACCTTCACCTACAAGTCAGCTAGCGACTAGACATGCTCCTACCTACAGTTCTGCCTCCACCACCCCTCTCTATGGTCAGCGCCTACGCAATAACCAGACTGCCCTGGAGATATGTTCAACAACAAGAATCAGAATCAGAACCAAAAGCAAAACCTAAACCAGAACCAGATTGAGACCTATCCGATTCATAGAAAGTGAATGGGGGACTACACATTGGTCTCCTCGTCGATGTCTTCACTGAAATTGAAATTAAAAATTAATTCTATGCCCATCTGTTCCCCTCTGCTTTACAAGTTTTTTTTTATAGGCTTTTGTGAGGGTATGATGATTTGGACGGATACTTGCAACACAGATAAGGAAGCAAAGAGGAACCACATCAATTTTAAACCTATTTGACAACTTTTAAAGGAGATTATAATTCGGAACTGACAATTTTTTCCCACCACATCGTATACAAATTTTTGGGGCTAAAGGGTATCAAAAGTTCCAACCCCGATCCTAGCCTTCCTCCCTAGCTTTTGTTTATTTTCTAGATTTATTTTCGATTTTTGTTGTTATTGTTATTGTTGTTGTTGTTATTTGCGTTTGTCTTTTTCGCACGTAAAACGTGTGACTTGAACTTTGAATTAATTCGTTCAATAATTTACATATCTGCTGCCTTCCCCGTCTCTTGGGCATTTGTTGGATTCTTGTTGTTTTTCCTATTTTCTTCAGTTATTTATTTATTTATTTATGAGTGGAGCATTCGAGTCGCAGGTTCTTGTTTATTTGGTTTTACGTTTGCGACTTTAACTTTATTTAATTTATTTTTTATCGCATACTTGTTTCCCAGAAATCGCTGCCAGTTACGGCTTTCGAGAAGGTGACCAAAGAACAGTGCCCATTGGCCTATCCAGAGCCGGTGCCAGTGGTAAACACTTCTCGGAAGTGGCAATGAAACCGATCTATGGCTGGGATTGTTTTTGTTGAGTAGTTCCCGGTTATGTGTCTCGCATTCGCGAGATATTGGTTTTGGCTCACTGGCCCATGGGGCTATGCCGACTTATGATTCAGATTGGGATTTACTGTGGGCTGTCTGCTATTGATGGTAATTAATGTTTGCGATGCACAAGCTGGAGAAGAAAAACAATGTATTGATTTGCATTTTCAATGAGTCATTCAACATTAAGCTTCCGGATGAGCGAAAGAGGCATTCCATTACATTCTATCTAATGACTTTCCAAAGGCATTAGTGTTTTCCACTGCATTGCCCTACTTGCTTAGTTACTTAGAGTTCAAATACTTTGCATATTCAGAGCACTTACTTCATCCACAAAAAATGTTCTTTGTTTCCCTTAAATCAGTCATAGTTCTTATAGTGTGTATAGCAGTAAAGAACACTATTCTTATCACTTGTATAGAGGAGAAAGAGAGAGAGCAACTTAGTCATGGTCGTGGCTGAATAATATGAATCATACATGTATCCTCCAACCATATGATTTACAAATCCACATATGTATGCCCGTCATAGATTCAGCTAGAAACCGAAATGAAAATGAGAATGGTTTCTCATTAAATGCTGTATGGTATGTCTGCCTATGTCTCTGTGTTCTTTTACCCTTTCAATATTGTATATATATATTTTTTATACTTTACTACGAGTATATGCTATATCTGTCCGTTGTTGTCTTCTTCATCAGCAGCAGTAGTAGCAGCAGCAGCAACAAGAGAGGAGGCAACAAAAGGCCAGGCTCCTGGCATACATTCCCATATGCTTTGGCGGCTTTGTTTGCACATTGACACAGGTGAAACTAATTAGGCCACAAAACCCAGCTCATTTCTGTATTATTTGTTAGCCAACAAAGCAGAAAAAAAAAAAAAAACAGCAAAAACAAGATACAGGGAATACAACAAAAAGTACAACAATATCTTGCAATTAAAATAAACGAACGAAGGCAAGTGAACTCATTTCTTTCGCTTGCAAAAAACTAGAGAAAAGCTTGTTGCTTCCTCTGCTTTTGTTTAAACATTTTGCAGTCGTTGAACTGTGGCCCAAAACGGAGCGACTCTCCTTTAAAGAAGGGAGTGAAAAAAGAAACACTTGCGCTTGGAAATTTCTTGTAGCTGTGTATAAAAGAAAACCGAAAGAAACCGAAAGAAGCTTCAATAAAGCAACTAAAATTGACCCAAATTTTAGGGCCATCCGTCCGGCCAACAGAGCGTATGCGTAATAACATTTTAGTTTCGCTAGTTTTCGCTTTCATGCGAGCAAATCTGCTTAAAATGTTCCCCAACAACATATGTTAGGGCAAAGGCAGAGGCAGCAACGCAGTTTGGGGCAGGAACGTGCAGACGGCACCGGGGCTCGGACTGGGGAACGTGCCTATGCAAAATGAGTTTCATTTGCAAAAGCGCGCGTGAAAAATTCATTAAAAGTCATCACAGTCCGAGGCGCGCCAGCTGCCTGTGGTCCCCTTTTAGGATTGTAGCGGATACTCTATACTTTCTGAACAAGAAATGGGAGTGTGCACTGTCAGGAGAGATAAGGAATGGGTAGGGGATCAATCGGGGATAGATGCACAGAACTTTGTAGAGTGTTTGGAAACATCAAAGTAAAATTTAAAAATTAAAACTGGCGTTAGTTTTCCAATTAGCAACAGAATTTAGAAGAAATTTAATAAATCAATTGACATTCAACAAGCTTAGACAGTTATTTTATTTCGTTTGTCTCATGTAACAAACAATCACATACTTCGACACATATTTTGATAAGACAAAGACAGTTAACAAATTAGATTTAAGTCAGTTATTATAAAGGAATCGTTCGTGAGTTGTATATTTCAGTTATTCAGTTATTTAATTGGATCAATAAACGAGCAAACGAACAGGAATGAGTACGAGTATATTGAAGGCGCTTTATTAAATTATTAAATTTATGAAAGAGTATTCAAGTTTTGTTTTTTATTCCGTACTTTTGATTCCTGATTTGTTTTTTTATACCAGCCTTTTGTGGGGGAGAAAAACTCATAATTGCAGCATTTTTCACTTTGTTTCTTAGGAATGTGCACACAAAAAAGTTGCTTATTAAAATTGAGCGAAATTTAATAAGCAACGGTTTTATGCAGGCCGAGTGTGAGAGGTGTAATGAGAGGGAGGGGCGGGAGTTTCCCTAAGAGTTTTTCACTGCCGACGCTGCTGCTGCTGCTTTTGTGGGTGGCGGCTCTTTTCGGGCATTTCCAGATGGTAGCCACAAAATGGCCGGCACTTGGACAAGTACGAGTGTTGGGGTTTGTGTGTGTGTGTGTGTGTGTGTTGATTATGAAACTACCAAAGTGGGTCTTACACAAGTGTCTACTGGCAGGGGTCTAGAGGAAATGTGGGGAGTGGAGAGTAAGATCTACCAGCGAGTGGCGAAAAAATGCAGCTAAAGTCACGTTTTGAGAGAGTGACGCCAGTTACCAAATGTGTAACCAAATGGTGGCTATAAAGATGTACGAAAAACCTCTAAAAACCCAACAAAATACAAATGTTAACTGAAAAAATATGTTAAATATGCATTTTGCATATGCTTAAAGGAAATGAGTTGTTGCATTGTGCCCCGTTTAGGGTGGTTTCATGGAGAGTTGGTGCAACTGATGAAGCTGTTTATGCTACACTGAAGTTTTGTGGGCGAAAACTGATTTTAAATTTGAAACAGGACGATACCATATACCCGAAATCAATATTACAAATTAGACTGAAATAATAAAAAATCGTTCAACAGATTTTCTATAACTTTTTGGTCTCTTTTTTATTTACAGAATCATGTGGTTTGTTATAAGATCACAAGTGTCTGAATCTTTGGTATGTCTTAAAAATTAATCTTAGGCCTATCTATATGACTTCTAAGAATTCGCTCTTAACGTAGGAAAAAATCATTAACGACTTAAAAATATTCAAATATTCATGGTCTTCAATTCTTTCAACTAATCCTACGTTCTGTTTTGCTTTAACTATTTAAAACACTTCTTAGTAAATACATCGTATGTATTCCGAAAAGTTTTTTTCTCGACCTATCCTCAGTGTCTTTCATACCACATATCGTCTACCTTTCCCGCTCTGAAGAACTTTCAGGAACCTCAAACCACACCTAACCTCATATCTAAGTTAGTCGTTCCCAAACAGTTTTCACACACCTGCTACTGTGTCTGTCTCTCCAGCACTTAATTTCTTATGCCATTTCTAGTTTATTTTGTTGGATGGCAAACAAAATATTAATTTCAACTCGGCTGCCACCTCTTGTCTGCATATGAAAACTCTGCTGCGAAATTTACATTTCAATTATGCCAGCGCCGCCCCAACCAAATTTATACATACAACAATGGGAAAGAGAAGCCACCAAGACAGGCAGCAGCCATGAATCATAGGTGAGCTACAGCTGGAGAGCTGGATCTGTGTGTAAGGGGGGGAGAGAGAGAGACTGAAACACCTACTAGTCGTACATGGAAAGGTACTCCTAGAGACAGATACAGGACTTAAACTCAGCCAAGCCTAAGGATGCCGAAAGGAAAAGGGAGCCTGGATCCATCCTGTCTGGCAGTCGCAGGCCGTGTTAGCATTTTCATAACCTTGTCAGCTTGATATGCGCATAAATTTGAACCAGTGCACATTGTTTATTTAAATGACGGTGCTTCCTCCGGGTCCCAGGCGGTGGCTGGGGTAAACCACCCAAAAATAAGTCCCAACCCCAATAGACAGGCAGACAGAAAGACTAGCTTGTGGAAGTTTTAAATACCCTTAAAGATTTCTTGTTCCTATTGTTTCTATATGAAACAGTTTCGTACTGTCATTTGGCATTCTAAATCAGTGTAGAAAATACATTCATCTTTATGTGGGTCAAATGTATAATCTTCCTTGCAGGATTATCAAAACAATGCTAAGGTTTTGTAGGGTTCTTTTTTAACTAGACAATGCTTCAAGTTCAAGTAAAGTCACCTCGATAGTCGCAAGACTTAGCTATGTATCAAGAGTTCATTATACGGTTTCAATCGACTCTCTGTTGATCTATGGTTTCCCCCTTGGTCCCCACAAGAATGTTGCCTCACATAAGCAGATTACTTAACCCAAGCGCAGACTTTCGCTTTCCGTCTGTGTGGCTCGTTTTTCCATCGGTTTTGACCCCGCAGAGAACTCTCGCGGCATAAATTACCTCAAAAGGCAATGGAAAGTGAATGTCAGGCAAAAGAACAGCTTGAAAATTTATGCTAAGCAAATGCAGGCAGCCCACAGTTCTTTCTGTGTGGATGGCATTCGGTCAATAGATACATTTTCCAAGAAGTTGGAGTGGGCTCTGGTCTGGCCTGGTCTCTCCACCCCAACCTCGATGAAAGCAAAAGTCGCATGAAAAAGTTTTGCTCGCTGCCCCGAGGTAATCTTTTTCCTGTTGTCTGTTCCACTTCGTTTTGCTGCCTTCTATCTTTTGGTGAGGGTATGGATACGGGTATGGGGTATCTGTCTGAGATCTGTCGTCTGGGCGCAGCACGCGTCCAACGATTTTATCAATGTCAACGGCAGTCAACGTCTGTCCTCCGTTTCATAATTGCCGTCGGCCAACGGCAGCAGCAGCAGCAGCCCAAACTTCAGCTCCAAGTCGGTCACAACTCTGGAATTAAACTCAAGATTGGGGCGTTAACTGCACGTAAATACCGAGATATGCATTCAATAGAAACAAAAACGAATTATGAGGATGAACAAATGTCAGCTTACGGAACGCAACGAAGTTTAGTTTCTCTACACTTGTACACTAGTTAAAGCTACTATCGAGCTTTAAGCAATGGGAATTCTCTTTAAACAGCAGTAAACTTCAAATTACTTGCTGTAATTATAAAGCCTTGATGGATTACTTCTATATGTTATATCTATTGCATCAAATCCACTGCACATCTTACCTTTCATTCAGCAATACCCTTCCCTCATAGAGTACCAAAATTCCACATTGCAATTGACTCGATTTTCACCCAACAGAAAAATAAAAATAAATCGAGAGCTGTCCTCAAAAACGTACACAGGATGCGGCATAAATGAAGGTGAAGACTGTACGAGTACGTACAGCAGTGATGATACGACTCGATGGCGATAACGATGATGATAATCAGCAGAGCAGCCTCATGACGATGCTGCTGATGATGTAAAGAAGCGTGACAATTCAACAAATATTTAACTGTAGCTCTGGCAACTCTCCATCTTCGGGCCAGGCCGGGCCGGGGTGGGCCCTTCTCAGCCTCAGGGCCAAAGAATTTGCGCAACTTTCTACGGCATCCAAGGCAGGGGCCTCCTCATGATTTTCACTTTTCATTTATGAGTTATTGTTGTTGCTGTGCTGCTACCTCTGTGACATCATCGCATGGCTAAGCAGGATGGGTCTTGCAGGGTGGGGAGGAGGAAACATCGGACTGACTTCGGACCCTGGCCAGGTCTGGCACTGGCCCTGAGTCTGGTGCTGGGTCTTGTACTACGTCTGGCCCTGGCCAAGTCAAGTCAAGTGTCAGAAAAGTGAAAACTCTCTCTGTGTGTTTGTGTGTATGGCTGGCTTTTGGGTGGCAGTGTATGTGACTGGACTGACTCGGCCTCATGTGGTCTGGTCGTCCGTTGTTGATTTTTCTTTTTTGGCGATCCAATTTCAAGTGGCCTGCTGTTTATTTATTGTTGGACTGCAGCACCCGGAGCACTGGGCGCACTCGCAGCAGCAGCTGTTGCCATAACAAAAAGCCATAACACACAGAAATATATGCATAGTGTGTATATATCCACAGAAATATATAATAATTGTTAACAATTGGGCGCGTCAGTGCAGGGAGCAGCCGTAAAAACAGAAAGTACAAGCTTTTGCACCCGCAAGATGAGTAATCGAAATTATTCCAAAATTATCCCACATTTAACACTCTATTTTTATAAACGGATTATAAATAAGAAATAAGTACAAACAATAAGAAATAAATATAAAATAAAAAGGGCATAATCTTTTACCATATAATAATAAAAAACATATCATTTGTTACATGTTTATCTCTAGTCTTCCCTGAGGCTGAACCACACCTGGTTTGTATTAATAAACATTCCTCAATCAACAAAAATAAATGATATCATTAATGACATAATTAAATTTATATGGCAACCAATTCAAATTAATAAAAGAAAAACATTTAATTTTCACGCAATGTCACAGAACATTGATAAATGGAAATGCCTAGGAGTGAGGTTAAGGGTTTGTTTTACTGCTACTTTTTTACGCATCAGCACAATGGACTAGAAATGGATATTCCCTCAATGTTTATTTGGCCAAATGTTCAAACTCTGTGGTCACCCATACATCCGCTACATCTATATCTGATTGTAAGGCTATTCATTAAAATTTACGTTTCATTTGTTTTCCCCCTCTTTACTCATCACATTCCATCGGCATTCTCCACCCCACAGACAAAAGGACTGACAGAGACTGGGACACCGTCAAACAGAAGTCACTTCAAATTGCATAAATTCCACAAATAGCCAATGTTCGTGGGGCACTCTATATAATCCCAACCCTCCAATTTACTCCCCCTTGAACAGCTGTCACCACAGAAATCGGAACCGCCGCCACAGAAATTCGAGTGGCAAATACTTTTTGGGGGAGAGACAGACAAACGGACATCGAGACCGAGACCGAGACTTGACACAAATGTCAATAATTCAAACCGAAAACTGACCACACAAGTTGGTCTCCCACCCATGGTTCTTGATCATTTGAGCACCTCATTGGACTTTGGCTTTATTGGCCAGCCCCTCAACACACTCGCCGCACACCCCACCATTGGTCACCATTTTGTGGGAAAATTCTTTTGAAACTTTTGTGAAAATTGCCTGTCATGCGTTTTACTTTCACTAAACACAGAGCTGACACCCAGAGAAAGAGAACATCATCCCGACCAACAAAAAAAAACAAAGAAAAATTAAGACATTTAACGCTTATTTCATCATTGCTCAATTCCTATCTATTTGGGTCCATAGGGGGCTGCAGCTTGTCCCAAAATTTGTGGTTAGCGTGTCCTTTAGGGGAACGATTTTAGAAATCGGTATTTGGTCAGACTTTTGAAGGGTTCACATGAGTATGAAGCGAAGTTTTGTAACTTAGAGATGTAACTGTAATCTGTAACTTTTTTTCCAAAAGATTTATTAATCTTTGAACCTCTTTTTACTGAACAGTTAATTTGTTATATAGTGCTCAGCGTATCTGATATCATATCTCTGAATCATTGTAAAATAAAGACTTATTAATATATATTTTCTTTGTTATGTAGCTTCTATTAAGAGATTGTCCTAGATATATATTCAGAGTATATTCTGCTTCGACTTTCCTACTTTACAGCCTCCCTTTCCATTTCTATTGTTTGTTCAGGGTGGAGTGCCCGACGATTGTTGGACGACACACGATGCGTAATCGTCAGAGGCTTTGTTGTTGGTTTTGTGGACATCTCCTAGAGAACCCCCGCCACCAGAATCCCTCACCATCCTCCACCCACTGTGCGTTGGAGATTTGATAAACTGCTTTTCGACTTTATTGCTGTTTTGGCACAAAATGCCTTTTTATTTTTTTCGCAATGACCAATATTTTCATCATCTTCCCCAATCTTGTCACCCCTCTTTCTCTTCAGCTGATTTTCCTACTTTCTGTTGTCCATTTCCACTTCGTTATACATTTTGTATTATTTTTTTATTCCTGTTGTTTTTTATTGGGATTTTTATTTACTTTTATGTGTTTATTATTTGGTCTCCTTTTGGTGCTTTGCCGAGCGCAAAATTGAGACATTTTTTAGGGGTCGTGGGTT